AAAGTCCCTTCTCATTAAAGTCTTATATGTTTTGTCTTGATGTGGCGGATGGCAGAACCCACTTAGAGCAGGCAGGTTTTGGGGCTTCAGGGGTGTCCCTCTCCCCCTGTCCTGGAACAGATTTGGGGAGCCCTGTAACAACAGGAGAGGTCTGCTGCGCCCTGTGCTCCCTGGCGGGGACCAAACTCACACTGCAGCGGCTGCTGACAGCTTCACAGTGCTGAGATTAACCCGGTGCACCACCAGGGAGGCCCTTCCCCATCATTTCTCCCAGAACCAGAGATCCACGTCAGCTGCACTAAGAGGCTAATGTCAGTCAGGCAGGAGGAGGGGCTTCCTAGAAAACTCCTCGAAAGCGGAGCTGGGGAAAGCAAAGACACAGAGCTCTGCATTTTAATTTGCCCGGACACACGTGTTTGTGCTCCAGCGAGTTCACAGTCTGGTCCGAAGCCATTCCACATGGAAGATGGCTTTGCTCATTTCAGTGTTGGTGAAAACGAGGCCCCGCAGCAGAGCTCAGGGGTCCCGGGACCAGGGCCCAGCCCAGCGCTGTGGCTGCCCCAGCTGCAGACAGTAGAGATGCCCGTGGGGGCTGCCGGGAGTGGACCAGGTGCGGCTGTGAGCTGACCACAGGGTCCAATCAACCTGGCGGCGAGACCCTGGCTGGTAGTGGGCAGGGCGGGGCGGCAGGGGACGCTGGCTCTGGCTGACGCTGTTCTTGGCTGCCCAGAAAAGAAGACAGCTGTGTTCCAGACCTGCAAAGGAGAAACCAGGACAGCAGCTGACCTCTGAAGGAAGAAGCCAGAAAGCTTCTAGAGAAACCAGGTAGCTTCACAGTGGCCAGGGTGGGGTCAGGGGCCACTGCCTGCTGGCCTAGGCTGATACCCCCTGAGAGGGCAGCCCCGGCCAGCCTGGAGTCTCAGGGAGCTGTTTGCTGTTGGGGTGGCCCAACACCCCCAAGCAGCTGTGACGCTGGTGACTGTGGTGGCCACACCGCGGCCCTGACTGTCCAGCCCTGCTGACAGTGACCGGCTCTCTGCCGGGGTCACCGCTGGGAGCAGGTGACGCCGCGGCCCGTCCGGGACCGCCTCCCGGTGCGGCTGCTCAGTCTGCTGTGTCTGGTCCGGCGTCTGGGGCCGGCATCCTGACCTCAGCCTGAGCTGAGGCAGCTGTCCACAGGCCGCCAGTGGAGCACGAATCCCTTTCGGCAAGAAGGACCCAGTCCGTGAGCACCGTGCTGCGGCCTGGCCCTCGCGTGCCGAGGTGACCGCTGCTTTAGGAGCTTGGCCTGGTTTTTCACACCCCCTGGCTGACACGCTGCCAGGCGTGCAGGGAGGCAGGGGAGGTGTCTGTTAGACCAGGGCCCCCATTTCATGGTCTGGTTCCTGGAGGTGACAGTCTGTTTTGCTCACTGCAGGGCGACAGCCTCACACCCCATCTGGGATGTGCTTGGTGCTCTCAGCACATGCAGTGAGCCATGGAAGTCAGGGCAAAGCTGTGTCCACCAATTCCATCCTTCCTAGCTTTGGGTATCCCCATGAGTCGGCTGGCAGAACTCTGAATGCTCCTCATCACCTCGTGATTATCCTGGCCTCTGGCTGTGCAGGACCCCAGGACATGCTGAGCCCACACTCCCCAGGAGAAACGGGCGTCATGGTGCAGGTTGTGCTGTGCAGCGTGCTGAAGCAAGAACACATCCTGACAGCTTCGATGATGGAGGGTGGGGAGCAAGCAGGAAGGGTGGGTAAAAGTGGGAAAGGTGCTTATGTCATCGAGGGCTTCAGGGGGAGGTGAGTCTGCTTGCTGACTGGGTATTTTTTATCTGCTTAATTATTGGATGTTGTAATCAAAACCATCCCCCAGGGCCTCCCTGGTGATGCAACAGGTTGTCTCAGTAATGTGGAGCAATCGGCAGCCCCCACGGCACCAGTCAGATCCCCGGGCAGGGGTGGTGACCCATGGGGTGCAGCAAACCCCTCTAGCCTCCCCGCTGCTCCCTTCAGCAGTGAGTTTCCATAGGTCTCCCTCTTCTGCTCCCCACTCAGTCTCTGGTGGAACCTCTCACCCCCTGCACCTGGCCTGTACCTCAGTTCCTACATGCATAAGTAAGTAAATCTTAAAAGAAAAAAATGTACTCACTGTCCCTGACCACCACGCGCTCTGCTCTGGTTTCATTTGAGAGGAGCCTTGAAGGGTCTGGTATATTATGTTCTTTTCGGTCATTAACCGAAAAGATTAACCGGCTGTCCTGACCTTGTAGTAGACAGCATGAAACCAAAGGGCAGCCTTGGCCCACGGGCCACCCAGGGGTGCCAAGCAACCATCCTGAATCATGTCGTTTTTTGAGTTCGGGGTCCTTGGGTTCACCCTGGGAAATGCTTCCCCAGAGCTCCCCTTTCAGCGGCACACGGAGATATTCTCCATGAGACAGAGACTCGGTTATATTTAAAGAGGAAATTGAGTAAAAAGAGACAGGGGTGGGAACGACACTCGCGTCGGATCAGCGGGCAGGAAGAGCTGCCCCGAAGGGACAGGCTTGCTGAGAGAGACCCGCATGGTGGCAGGGGGCGGCCTGAGGAGAGTGGCCTCCGCTGAGGGAGGTCAGTCAGAGAAGCCCCGGCAGGGGCAGGTCCCGGGCTGGCAGGCGGCTGCTGCCCTGGGAGGGAGAGAGCGGCTGGGAAGAGGCACCTGTGTGGGCACAGGGGGGCAGAGAAGCGGCCGCCCCGTGCTGGTGGAGAGATGCCCTGATTGAGACAGCCTCTCCCTGGGAGGGCTCTCTCCCTGTGAGCCCAATTGTGTTGACCTTGAATAGAATCTGTTGAAAAGATTCCTGAGGAGCTCATCTCTCTGTCCTTATCTTTCACCTTTTGGTCTGAGCTTCAGACACAGCCCCCAACAGCCTGTTACCTGCTGGGGCTCCTGCAGACACTCAGGCATCCGGACATGGGTTGACCTTGATATTATGGCTGAGTCAGTTGCTTCACTCCCCCCCTGCACTGGTCCCCTTTGCGCGCCTCAGTCTTGTGAGACCTCCCCTGTGCTCCTTGCTCCATCACTGAAGGGCCCTCGTCCGTTGCTCACTGCAGGGCGACAGCCTCACACCCCATCTGGGATGTGCTTGGTGCTCTCAGCACATGCAGTGAGCCATGGAAGTCAGGGCAAAGCTGTGTCCGCCAATTCCATCCTTCCTAGCTTTGGGTATCCCCATGAGTCGGCTGGCAGAACTCTGAATGCTCCTCATCACCTCGTGATTATCCTGGCCTCTGGCTGTGCAGGACCCCAGGACATGCTGAGCCCACACTCCCCAGGGCTCTGTGCTTGCAGGGCCACCTGGCACCTGGGACCCCACCCCTCCTGGGGCGGCAGATGTCACCTCTGTGCCCTCACTGTGCAGCTCCACCGGGCCACGGGTTGACCCCTCCCTGAGCAGGACACCCGCTTCCCACTGCCAGGAGAGGACAGTGAGGACCACCGGCCCATCGAGTCCACACCTGAGACTCAACA